GGACTAACAGAATTTCCTGGTCATGTTGAACCGGACTCGCTGCCCGCGCCCGCCGCAGACGTTGTCCATTGGAGACAGAAGGCCGCGTGCCCAACAGCGGCCGCTCTTGGTTTTGGACAACAATTGTTGTTGGGCATTGGAAGCCTTTCCCGAAGACACCCAGAAGTCACGCCGCCTTCTGAGAAAGCCTTCTCCCTTCTCTGTCTCACTTCCCCCTCCCTCGCTCGCCGCCGAGAAGGGCCCAGGGTGGCGGGTGGTCGCATCGGGGGGCCGGGTCCCCAGGTCGACTCTGGCCCTCAGAGTTTCTGGGAGATGACCCCGCCCGCTGTTGCCCGGGTCCCGCTCCCGCCTTCCTCCTCACCACCGAGGCCAGACCCCTCTGCCCGCGGCGAGACAGACAGGCGCCCGATGGGACTCCCGGCGCTGCCGCCCCTGTCAGAGCCGCTGGGCCTGTGTTTTTCCTCCTGCGCGCCCGCCGTCGCCGAGTGGGCGGCAGCACGCCCGGCGGCTGGCCTGGCGGCGGTGCTCGGGCGCTGCGTCATGGGGGGCGGCAGATGTCGGCCACGCGCAGAAGAGGGCGGGGGGGGGCCAGGGGGAGGGGGGCTTCTTAGAAGGCGCGGGCCGTATCTGTAAATGTAAGGCCGCCGCCCTCTAAGAAGCAGCCGCGTTCTAAAAAACCTTTCCCCCCCCCCCCCTCTGAACCCCCCTTCTGCGCGCCGCCAAAGGGAGGGGGTGGGAAAGGTGCACCTGGTGCAACCCAAAGGGGCCCTCTGGGGACCAAAAGGGGCACGAATGGAACACGTTCCCCCCTCCCCCCCCCCCCTTCCCATGATTTTGTGACAACGTCGACCCCCAGAGGTGTGAAAGAGCGCGTTCTGTGGTCGCTTGGAGGGGGGGGGGGTGAAACCAGACCTCCCATCCCCTCTGGATGGAGGGGGGGGGTCGAAACCCTTCCCCCCCCCCCCCCTTCCGTGACGGGGGGGGATTTCGAACGCGATCAGGACATAGCCCAAGAAAATTTGACATTCCCGAAGGAAAAACAGACATTCCCCAGTAGCACCAGGGAGTGTCCGATTCCTGCGGTGTTTCCTTTGCGAATGTTTCGAGCGGGGTCAGGCCGCAAAGTCTTCGAAAGCCAGTTGGTTGGCTTACGTCTGACCATTCGGTTTCCGAAAAAACATACTGGGGAATGTCTGATCTCGATGTGCTCGCGCGTTGTAGTATTGGTACTGGTAATGGTACTGGAAATGATAGTGGCAGCGGTTGTGCTAGAGGTAGTGGTAGTGGTAGTGGTAGTGGTAGTTGTAGTGTTAGTGGTAGTGGTAGTGGTAGTGGTAGTGGTAGTGGTAGTGGTAGTGGTAGTGGTAGTGGTAGTGGTAGTGGTAGTGGTAGTGGTAGTGGTAGTGGTAGTGGTGGTAGTAGCAGTAGTAGTAGTAATAGTTGCAGTAGTAGCAGTAGTAGTAGTAGTAGTAGTAGTAGTAGTAGTAGTAGTAGTAGTAGTAGTAGTAGTAGTAGTAGTCGTAGTAGTAGTAGTAGTAGTAGTAGTAGTAGTAGTAGTAGCAGTAGTAGTAGTAGTCGTAGTCGTAGTCGTTAGTCGTAAGTAGTCGTATTAGTCCTAGTAGTCGAAGTTAGTCGTTGATAGTCTAGTAGTCGTAGTGCAGCTGCGCTCTGAGGTAAGTCCGTAGTAGTAGTAGTGTAGTAGAAGTGTTAGTCGTAGTTAGCAAAGTAGTAGTAGTAATAGGTAGTAGTCGAAAGAGTAAGTCGTAGTAGTAGTAGTAGTAGTAGTAGTAGTAGTTAGTAGTAATTAAGTAGTAGCCGTAAGTAGTAGTAGCTCGTAGTGTAAGTCGTAAGTCGTTAGTCGTAGTATAGAAGTAGTATAGTATAGAAGTAGTCGTAGATAGTAGTAGTAGTAGGTAGTAAGTAGTAGTAGTAGTAGAAGTAAAGTAAGTAGTAGTAGTAGTAATAGTAGTAGTATATAGTAGGAGTAGGTAGTAGAGTGGAACAATATAGATAGTAGTAGTAACCGTAGTAGTAGTAGTAGTAAGTAGTAGTAGTAATCAGTACCAAAACGTGAGTAGTAGTAGATAATAGTAGTAGTAGTAGTCGTAATAGAAGAAGTAGTAGTAGTAAGCGTAGACTAGTAGTCGAAGTAGAAGAAGTAATAAGTAGCATAGTAGTAAAAAGAAAAAGTACAGTTAGTAAGTAGTATTAAAGTAAGTAGTAGTAGAGAGTAAAGAAGTCGTAGTAAGTAGTAGTAGTATAGTAGTGTAGTAGGAAGGGGTTAGTAAGTAGTAAGTAGTAGTAGTAGTAGCAGTCGGAGCAGAAGGTAGCAGCAGCAGAGTATAGTAGTAGTATTAGTAGTAGTATTATAGCAAGTAGTAGTAGTACTTAAAGGAAGTCGTAGTAATAGTAGTAGTAGGTAGATGTAAGTAGTAATGTAAGTAGTAGTACTACCAATACTAGAAAACTAGTTAAACTATTAACAAGTAACCTAGTACTAGTACTAGTACTAGTACTAGTACTAGTAGTAGTAGCAGTGTAGTAGTAGGGGGTGCCCGCATTCGTCCGCTTCATGGCCCTATATGGGGGCTTCACCGAAGGTCCCAGTAGGATCGCCCGCACACGCCCGCCACAACCAGTATGGCGCTTCGTGGCCCCATGGGGGGCTTCCACCGAACGCCCCAGGTGGACCGCCCGCATGCGTCCGCCACAGCCAGTACAGCGCTTCGTGGCCCCATTAATGGCTCCAGCGAAGGTCCCAGGGAACCGCCCGTTTAAGGTCCCAGGGAACCGCCCGTTTGCGTCCCCCCCCCAGTACAGCGTTTCGTGGCCCGATATGGGGGCTCCACCGAATGCCCCAGTGGCACCGCCCGCATGCGTCTTCACAACCCACTACAGCGCTTCGTGACCCCATAGGGAGCTCCACCGAAGGCCCCAGTGGGGATGCCCGCATGTGTCCCCCTCAGAACGCGTTACTCACAACTACATATGGTTGGACGCTTCGCCAGGGTAATTTGTCCAAAATCCGCCTGTAGGGGGACATGCCCGACTTCAGTTGATCGCCCCCCCCCCCTCTCAGCAACGCCCAAGGTGGCCGGCCTGTTGGGCCTCGGCGCGCTGCTCGCCGTGCTTCTGCGGTGGGGCCGCCGGCGCAGCGGGCGGCGCTCGCGGGCGGGCGCCCCTGCCTGCAGGCGGGACTGCAGCACGGAGGACCTCTCCAGGAAGGAACCCCAGACACGATCGCGCCGTTAAAATACCAGGGCGGCAGATTTTTCACGATTTTCGGCCCCTCGGGGCCCAGGCCTCAGGACCGTCAAAAAACGTTTCAGGATGAAGAACCGGCCCCGGGGAAAGGGTCTGGACTTCCAGGGACGCCGTTCTGAAAAAATCAGAACGTCGCATGTCTGGGACCAGGTCCCGAGGGAAACGGATTTTCAGGTTTTCCCCGGTGAAGTTTATCTCCTCTTCCTACCCCTCCTCCTCCTCCTCCTCCTCCTCCTCCGATTGCCTTGTTTCGCAAGCACATTGGCTGTGAACGCTTCAAGTCTGACGTATCCCGCCTACGCGCCCGACGGCATACTGCTGGTGCAGTGCAGTGCAGTGTGTCCCAGGGGCCCTCCACGGGTCCCGGAACTGACAGAAAACAAATCAGGGTGAGCAATTGGTGTTTGGGGGAAGGCCCCGGGGTTCAGGACCCGTTCCCCTCGGGACTCGGGCTTTCTTGTTAATGTCCAAGGACCTCGCGGACCGGAGGGGGCAGATCCTCTTCAAGGACTTCATGACGGGCTGGTTGGACCTGACGTGGCCAAAGTGCGCCGAGGCCGCCTCCAGCACGATGAAGAGGAAGATGGAGATGGCCCTGGAGGATGCGCTGCGATCGTACCCAACACTGCGGAGGGATGTTATACACTACACGGTCGTATTTGGCACCGTGGCTCCTCACATTCACGACGTGTACAGCTACAAAAAGTTGAACACGGAAGACGAAGGGGCCTCTGTTTGCGGGCATGTGCAATGGGATGCCGACATGCAGATCGAGCTTCAAATTGGACCAGCCAAGATTGGCGTCAACAAAGTGAAGCTTGAAGGCACTGGCTGCATAGTCGCTAAGCCTCTTTTGAACAGGGACCCGATCCTGGGTGGAGTGCAGATTTTTTTTTGCGACCCTCCAAAAATCGAAATGACTTTCACCGGCCTCGGATCGTCTTGGAGCCCCCTGCATCCGGTCATGGCCAAAGTCGTACGCCACGCGCTGGCTAGCGTTATGGTGCTTCCACAGCGAATGAATCTCAGATTCGCAAACACGAAGATCATCGATTATCCAGAATTCAGGAATCCAGCACCCATCGGCGTGATTCGAGTTCACGTGCTGGAGGCCAGCAACATTCAGGCGACAGGCGCTTACGCCAAGCTGCGCAACCACCTGACCTGGGCGGGCTCCATGGCCGCGCCAGGCGACGTGCACTGCGTTGTCAAAGTGGGTGCCGTGGAGCGACAGACGCCCGCGCCGACGCAGGCCTCAGCGGAAGCGCCCGGAGCCTGCACGGATTTAAGCTTCCTTGTCTACCACGAGAGGCAGGTCCTCGGCGTGGACGTGTACGACAGCAGCGTGATGGGCCTGCAGCACCGCGTCGGCTCCGTGGAGTCCGAGGCCATCCTTCGCAGCAGGCACCCGCTCGCCTCCACCATGCCCGGCCAGGGCCGCCCTGGGCCCCTGGACACGGTGCGCACGCACTCTTGGCCAGGAGCCCAGGAGAGCCTGTGCACGGTCTCGGGCCCCGGGGCCGGGCCTGGTGGTCGTGCCCGGTGCCTCCTGCGGGAGCGTCCTCGACCTGCTCTCCAGGCAGCACCGAGAGGGGCACTTGCTGCTCTCGGGTGCCGCCGGCAGCCCCCGCGTCAGCGCGCGCCTGGAGTACTTCGACTTCACCCGCGCAGGCGGCGCACACGCGGGCCCCACCGCACCCCAGCTGCTCACAGTGAAGCTGTATCACGCCGCGGGGATGCCAAAGGGAGTCTGTGCCAAGGGGCTCGTGCTCCGCCTGAGCGTTACGGGCCAGGAGGAGCCCAGCGTGTCCAGGAGCAGCCACAGCATCCACCCGAAGGATCATTTCGGGTTCGGCATCCGGCAGTCCAAGATCATGCACCAGCTCTACATGCGTGGCACGCCCACCGAAACCATCGCGGAGGTGTACGGCCTAGAAAAGGCCGTTGTAGACGAGACGATTGCTGTTGAGTCTGGCGTCTTTGATGCCAGGCATCCTCGCAGGTTCGGATGGGATGAAGCGATGCACGTGTTGATCTCCAACCCCGGCGAGACCCGCATGTGCCTCGAGATGTGCGAGCCCTTCAATCACGATAGGTGGCACCCACTCGAGCACTGCGAGGGCACGCTGGAGCAGGTTGTCGCAGCGATGGCGGGACTGAAGAAGGGGCCCGGGGGTGGGCGGCAGTGTCGCGTGCGTGGAGGCCCGCTCGACGGGGCTGCGGTGGGCGCGTCGGTGCAGCTCACCCCAGCGGAGCCCCAGACGGCAGGCGCGGCCGTGCGCGCCTTCGACCTGCTGGGGCGGCTGGGCGGCGACGCCACGCGCCTCGGTGCGGCCATGAAGCAGGAGCTGGAGAGGCAGGTGTCTCCGAGGTCGGAGCCCATGGTGCCTCTGGCACAGCCGCCACGGGCGCCAGCACCGTCCGCGTCGGCGCCGAAGGCCGTCGAGGGGGCACTGAGCCTGGCTCAGGCTCACTGGCACTGGGCGCGGGACTGTGTCGTGCGCCGCACCAAGAGGCACGCTGGCTAGCAGAAAGAGTATCGCATCGGGCGCACCAGCACAGCCGCGCCAGTCATACGGGGGCGCTCCAGAGGAGGTCTCAAACTGTGTAAGCCCGGGCAAGGCTGGCGGAAGCCAGCGGACGCAAAACAGGGGTGGCTCGCCAGCGGAAGCCAAAGTTTCCCGGCCCAGCCGCAGCTTTAAACATCCACTGGCCCTGGCTGGCCTGCGCCTCTTGGGCAAGATTATTTGAGTTATGGTCTTCACTGTGGCATGGTCTTGCTTATGGACTTGATCATCCCGCAGGTCCAATGGTCGTTTGCATATTGTCCTGTGCGCGGTGGGGTTAGCAAGGTAGGGTATGTGAATTGTCAGTTATATGGCATGCCGTCATGCCTATTCGAGCGTCTGTACGTTCGTGTTCGCAGGTTCCCTGCGCAACACTACTCCGTGTGGTGCCGTAACCTGGTGTATGGCCCGTGGTGCCTCAAGGTCCGACTGGCTGTCCCAGTGCCACTCCGTGCAAAACCATGCTCTTCAAGTCAATGCCCGCAGAGGGTGTGATTCGATCTCGCGTCGGGAGGTCCCCAGTGCACTCAAGGTTGGATTGCAGCACGCAGGCAGTCAGACCCCTGGGGGTTCCGAAAGCGTACATCGTTCATGGGTTAAGCGGCTTGCCCGGTGTCAGAAACCAGGGCCTGCGTCGGCAAGGCGGGAGTTTACCGCAATGATCCGTTTTGGCTCCAGTTACCGTTGTTCACCCCCTAAACGGACGCCGCTGTGATCGCCACCCCTCGCAGCCACGTATACCGGGCCACCCAGCGGATACCACTCGCAAACATGGCTGGCCCCATCACGATTTCTTCACCTTCGACCACCAGCACCGGCCCGCGCCGACGTGAACGCAGAGGCGAGCACACCATTGAGTCTGTCGATACGACCACTGCCGTGGCCGCCGAAGAGCCCGCAGACGGCTCGGTCCTGATCCGCACAGCGGCCGAATCTGTCACCCAGCTCATCGTGGGACGCGGGCCCGCTGCGTCCACCGATGGGGACGACTCCGAGGAGCCGCTCGTCGAGCTGGCGCGCCTGGATCCAGCCATAGCGGCGAGCTTCGTCAAGAGTGCCATGCTCATGGGCGGGCTCAGCAGCGGCCTTGTCGCGGTGGTCACCGGGGCGCTCCTCGCAGTGCATTGGTCTGCGTGGGCCCACTGCGAGCGGCCCTTACGATGGTGGCTGTTCGCGAACTGCCTGCTGCAGATCATCCAGGTGCCCCTCCGCCTCGTCTTCTGGGCCAGCGTGCGGGCCGCAGAGGTCGAGCGCCAGAGCATCGCCCTCCGCATCGCGCATCTCGCGAGCTCCCAGGCCTGGCGCGCCAGCAAGGCCGTCTCGCTGCTGACCTACTTCTGGGTGATCCTCGGCTTCGTCTGGGTCATGAACTCCATGGGCTGCCAGACGTGCTCCAGCCTCGTCGTCACCGTGGTGGCGGTGCTTGCCACGTCCGCTGTCCGCGTGCTCTGCGCGTTCGTCGGCTTCCGCCTGCACTTCCCGCAGGCCGCCCTGGAGGCCGAGGCGCCGAAGATGTGCGCGGCGACCGCCGAGCAGATCTGCAGCCTGGACACCGTGACCTACGAGAGCCACGGGCTCGACGAGTCTGTCACGTGCGCCGTGTGCTTGTCCGAGTTCTGCGACGGCGACGGGGCGGCAATTGAGTGGGGCGTGTCTCTCTACAGGGGGGATCTTCCACAATAGTCCAAAAAGATAGTCCGAGGATTATTTGTTTAGTATTGTTTGACCATGTTGGAGCATTTTTGTAGTATGTTCTATTTTTCGTCGAGAATTCCCCTGTAGGGGGACACGCCCGGCTTAAGACGACAACAACCTACACACACAGTGGGGGCCCATGCCAAGAAACACCCTGCTTGCCTCCAGGGTGGGTTTCTCGGGTTCCGATGGTTTTGCCATGGAAACCGTGACGTTCCCACACCACTAATCGATGGACGTCCTGGTGTCTCAGGGTTGGGTTGCTTGCGGAAGGTTTCTCATGGTCGGGCCCCTATTGTACACACGCACACACACATATATGTGTATTGTTTCGGAGGTGCGCGCGGATTTCTTGGATCGACCCTGGCGCGTTTCTCGCGGCAGGGAGAGCGAGTCCAGCGCCGGGCCAAGAGAACTGCGCGGGACTCCCAGCGTTGATTCACCACCGGAGCTTGCGCCACGGGTGTCCTCACATGCTCATAAGTGAATCAAGATTGTAGGTCGACGCTGTTCGTTCTTGCCCTGGTGCCCTGTGGGTGGTGCTCTACTGCTGGTGCACTTGTAGGTCGCAAGTTCTCGTTCCTGCCCTGGTGCCCTGTGGGTGGTGCTCTGCTGCTGGTGCACTGGTAGGTCGCAAGTTCTCGCTCTGGTCACCTATCGGTGGTGCTCTGTGGTTGGTGCGCGGTTGTGTCGCGATGTCTTGGTCTTGCACTGGCGCCCTACGCGCTGTATGCTCTATGATCCGCGGACGATATGTGTGCACCGTACCGCGTTGGCGTCTCCCGAGGCGTTGTCGATCTTCGGCCCAGGAATGGTATGAAGCATACTTTATCGGCCCCTGGGAGCGCAGAAACTGTGCACCATACCACGGTGGAGCGAGGCCTGAACGGAGTCCAGGCAAGGTACGGTGCATGGGCGCCGTTCTCGTATATGATTTGTGGGCTATCAGGTCGCCAGTTCTTGATTTTGCCATGGTGTCTTATGGGTAGAGCTTTGTGGCTGGCGCACTACGAGGCCGCGGTGCCCCGCGGGATTGGGTTGCGAGTTCTCGCTCTTGCTTGGTGCCGCTTATGAGGTGCGTGATGGAGTGCGCACTATTAGGTCGGAGGTTCTCGTTCTTGCCTGATGCCCTACGGGTTGCATTCCATGGCTGGTGCACTCTTAGATCGCCCGATGTGGGTCAAGGATTCGCGTTCTTGATCTGGTGTCAACCGGGTGAAACTGTATGGCAAGTGTGTGCCATGAGGTCGCGGGTTCTCGTTCTTTCTTGGTACCCTATGAGTAGAGCTCAACGGCCGGTGCACTATGGTGTCGTAGTGCTCGGGAGTTCTCGTTCTTGTCCTGGCGCCCTTTGAGTGGCACTGTATGGGGGATGCCCGATGATGCATTTATGACGTTGTTTCCTCTAAACAGCGAATGCGAACCGCGACGCAACAAAAGGGATCGTCTGCGCCGACATTCGCGCGTAAGCTGCCCGCGTATAGTCGCGCGTAAGCGCCCTCGTCACCAATGTGGCGTGCCGCGCCGGCGGCCCGCGTAAGCAAGGTCGCTACGTCATCTCGCGATAGACCCGTGTTTGATCGTCGCCCGTCTGTCTAGGAACAACTTGCTTCTGCGTTCTAGAAGTTGAAGAATGTGCCGCCCACGTGCCGAGCCGTGTGCGCGTACCGTGCCATACCCTTGCCGTGCCTTGCCCGCGCTCAAGAATGCGTAGAATGTGTTTTGTTGTGCCCGCGCCGTGCGCGTGTCGCGCCGTGCCCGCTTTCTAGAATGCGAAATCTGCCCCGCCCGTGCCGTCCGCATGCCGTGCCGCGCTCGTGTTCCAGCATGCGAAATATGAGCCGCCCGCGTGCCGTGCAGCGCCCGTGCCGTGCGCGTGCTGCGCCGTGCCCGTGCCTTGCGCGTGCCGTGTTGTGTTTCCGTGCCGTGCCGTGCCCGTGCCACCACACCGTGCCACCCGCACCAAGCACGCGCATGTCGATACGGATTCACGATGTGGTTCTTCATGTAGCGTTGCTGTTGAAGATAAATAACTATCTACGCCAGCGTAAGCAGGGCGCATGTTTGTATTGCATTGTGCTGTCTCCCGCAGGGAGTGTTGCGATGCATTGCCTCCCGCACGAAGTGTTGCATTGTATTGCCTCCCGCAGGGAATGCCTTGCATTGCCTCCCGCAGAAATTACTGCACCACCGCACGCTGCAAGAAGGACTACGTGCTCCGTGGGTGGGGTGCGCCTGCACCGCCGCACGCTGCACCAACGCACGCTGCCCCTCTGTACGCTGGACGCGGACCTACCCAGGCAGGCAGGCTGTCTCCCACTATGTAGTTCCTGGGTGGGGATGCGCCTGCACTGCCGCACGCTGCACCGACGCACGCTGCACCGCCGCACGCTGCACGCGGACCTACTCGGACGGGCATACTGCGTCCCACGCACGCCAACGCACCCCCACAAAGGGACCACGAAGTTCATGATAAGCGTTTTTGCTGGCTTGCGTTGGCGCGCGATGACAAGCGTTCTATGGTTGCTGACCTGTCATGTGTTGGTTGTTTCGATGTATCGTTATTGCCACTGCTGGGAGTTACATTACATGGACCACGCAGGCGCACTACATTGCGTAGATCCTCCACTCCAGAGCAGGATAGGCTCTACCACCCCCCTGGGCCCTGGTTATCGCGCCCTCCCCCCTGGGTCGTTGCAAGTTTCATTTCTATCTCGTCGTGGATTTCCCATGCGGAATCCGACCATCTTAGCCAGGCCGCTACCGACACCCCTCACCCCTGTCATGTAGTCCTACGCCATGTTGTGCAATCTGCGTGGTGCATTACATGTTGGGCGATCTAGGTGGACCAACCTATGTGATGCAAACTATGAAGGGTAACCGATGTGGTGCGAGATATGCTGTGTACCCCACGTGGTGTAGTAGATGCGGGAGGTGCAACCAATGTGGTGCAATTCACTTGCCGAACTTGAAATTGTCAGCTCCACTGCTCGCGCAATCGTCCCACCCACCCACCCGCAACTTGGTTCGCAAAACCAGTGCGGGAGCGATTGCGATGAGTGCTGGGCGTTGGCTGATGCAGCTCTATGGACGCGTTAGCCCGCGCATGCTCGCGCGCGCAGCGGCCAGCTAGTTTGGCGCGACCGACGCGAATGCGGTGGCGCTGACCGCTCGGCACATCCCAGCGGGCACTTCAGTGCGAGTCGACAACTTGGGCGGGCGCGGTATCATGGCAACGTCGACAACGGTAGACACGATGATGATAGTAGCTAGCGATGCCGGCGACGATGCTGACAGCGACGACGGGGCAGCCAGTGACGGCGCCGACGCGAATCACGCCGACGACGATGACGGCGTCCCCGCGTCGGTGATGAAGGTTTTCGAAGGAATGCGAAATGCGCGCGCGGCAGACGCGCGAGAGTGCCCCGCATGGTATTTTTCGATACGGATCCTGCCACCCCAGTACGCGCGCAAGGGCGTTCGAACGATTTCGAAATGCGCGCGCGAAGCCCGCGTGGTAGCATGTTATGAACCTGTTGAAACGGGGGGGGGGGGAACAAAAAAAAAAAAAAAACCATGGCTTTCTGAAGAATTCACAAAAACGCACGCGTTTGTTGAAAACCCGTGTTGCGAAACCTTGCATGCTTTATGTTTTTTGTTTTGACATTTGATTTTGAATTCTCTCCGAAACCGATGTTTTTTTTGTGGGATTCCGGCATGCGCGCGCGACGACGCGCGCGTGCGCATTTCGTTTGTTTGTTGCAAGGGATTTTGACAAAATCTGATTTTTGATAAGCGAGTGCGCGCGCATAGTTTTTGTTGCAGAGGATGGCGGGGGGGCGATACCGGCCTAGCTGGGGTAGTGTGGATTTACAGCTAGGGTGGACGATGGGGAAGAATCATATGTAAATTGCAATGCGAAAAGATGGGTCGATATGTCCGGGGGGGGCAATAGAACTCATTACTTTGAGAAAGGAAAATCTATATGGTACAATCCGATGCGACGCGGGGGATGGCGGGGGGGCGATACCGGCCTAGCCGGCGGGGGGGCGATACCGGCCTAGCCCGTATAGTATGAATTCACAGTTAGGGTGGACGATGGGCCAGAATCATGCGTCAATTGCAATACGAAGAGGTGGGTCGATAAGTCCAGGGGGCAGCGGTGGTAGAATTTATTCCCAACCCTCCTGCGTTGGGTTCTCGTTTTGAATAGAGCACTTCTCGCGCGAACCTTCCCACCCCCCCCGTCCCTCTCCCCCCCCCTGCCTTTGACCTCGCTCGTCGCTGCGTTTCGAGGGCTGCTTGGGGGGCTGCGATATGTGAAACTGTCTCCACTTTCGAGGGCTGCTGGGGGGCCCAGCACAGTGGGTACCCACGGCGGATTCAAATTGGACCTCGCCATCCCTGGGGGGCTGCGATCTGTGAAGCTGTCGCCATTTTCGAGGGCTGCCGGGGGGCCCAGCACAATGTGTACCCACGGCGGATTCAAATCTGCGAAATTGTCGCCACTTTCGAGGCCTGCTGGGGGGCCCGGCACAGTGGGCACCCACGGCGGATTCAAATGGGACCTCGCCATCCCTGGGGGGCTGCGATTTGTGAAACTGTTGCCATTTTCGAGGGCTGCTGGGGAGCCCAGCACAATGGGTACCCACGGCGGATTCAAATGGGACCTCGCCATCCCTGGGGGGCTGCGATCTGTGAAACTGTCGCCACTTTCGAGGGCTGCTGGGGGGCCCAGCACAATGGGTACCCACGGCGGATTCAAATGGGACCTCGCCATCCCTGGGGGGCTGCGATCTGTGAAACTGTCGCCACTTTCGAGGGCTGCTGGGGGGCCCAGCACAGTGGGTACCCACGGCGGACTCAAATTAGACCTCGCCATCCCTGGGGGGCTGCGATCTGTGAAACTGTCGCCACTTTCGAGGCTGCTGGGGGGCCCAGCACAGTGGGTACCCACGGCGGATTCAAATGGGACCTCGCCATCCCTGGGGGGCTGCGATCTGTGAAACTGTCGCCACTTTCGAGGGCTGCTGGGGGGCCCAGCACAGTGGGCACCCACGGCGGATTCAAATTAGACCTCGCCATCCCTGGGGGGCTGCGATCTGTGAAACTGTCGCCACTTTCGAGGCCTGCTGGGGGGCCCAGCACAGTGGGTACTCACGGCGGATTCAAATTAGACGCCGCTTTCGTCCTTGTTCTCCTCCTGCAGTCACCTTCCCTCTGCTGCTGCCGTGCTGATGGTTCGGCTTCCCGCACGTTTTTCTCCTGCTCTGCGTTCCCGACTCCCCATGTCCTCTTCGAGCCTGTAGCTGTCGCCCCTCGTTCTTGTATGGTTCTCCTGCGCATCATGCCATAGGCGCGTGTCCCAAGTAGCTTACACATCAAGTTGATTGTCCATGCAAGGTTCGGCCAACTCCTCGTTTCCTTTGATACAAATGGGTTGGGTACGTCACTGGTTAATTCCTTTTAAAGAAAGGAGACTCTAGAAGGCGCAATCCGAGGCGATGCAGCCTATGCGGCGCAACATTTGCGAGGCGGCGACGGGGCGGTGACGGCGAAGACGGGGCAGCGACGGCGAGCACGGAGCCGCCAGAACGCCACCCAGGCACAGCCGACTCGCTTGGCGACGAGGGGGCGACGGCGCTCACGGAGCCGCCAGACCGCCACCCAGGCACAGATCCTCAGACGAGAAGCAAGAACCCCTAAGTGCAAGCACGGTGCGGGGATCAGCGTCCGCACGCGAGCGCACATGTCGAAATCACACCGAACACGTTAGCTGTGCAAGCATTCCCACCTAAAACCGTGTACGCACACATTGGCTGTGCAGTGGAAAGGTTGTAGATGTTCTGGCCCCGCGCACTTGCTGCAATCATAGGGACGCCCGCCATGTGGTTTTAGCAGTCTCGTCCAGACCTGCGTTCTCATCTCATCACGCGGGGCATCCGCGTCAATCTAGCATGCACCCAGCGCGCGAGCCCATACCAAATAGTACGATGCGGGCAATGAGGTCGCGACGCCACGCGCGTCTGCCGAAGTCCGTCTAAAACCAGCAGTTTTCAAAGCATTGCACAATATGGAGCTCTTCAACAGCGTATGCGCATCCAGGTGCTTTTCAAAAACATGGCGCCAGGAGTATTGGATTTCTACGCGCGCGCGCGCCCTCATCACCCTACCAGCGCCATCGCATCACCGCCGGAATCAGTATCGTCAATCGCCGCTATTGCTGCCATCATAATCACAATCACCATGATCACCGACACATGGACATCTTCATCGTCATCGTCGTCACCAGCATCGGCGCCGGCATTGGCATTGCCGTCATCGACGTCACCATCGCCACCACCATCGCTATCATCATCACAAGTGCCGCCGTTGTCGACGTCATCATAATACACCTTCCGCCCGAGTCACCGACCCGCAGTGAAGTGCCCGCGCGCCAGCGGGGCGCCGTCGCGGACGCATTAGGTGTGCCAAACCAGTTGGGCGCTCTGCACGAGAGCGTGCGCGCGCCCGCGCGGTCGTAGAGATGCGCGCTAGCAAGTTCCGATCGGGGGCCGCATTCGTAACCGAATATGTGTTGCAAAAGAAGTTGCGGGTGGGCGTGCTTCATGTTTGCACGAGCAGTGGAGTTGACGACATCAAGTTGTGAAAACATGGCATTGCCCCCAGGCTGCACCATGTACATTGCGCCACGCGCATATAGCGTCATTACATCGGTTGCGCCACGTAAGCTGCATCACACAGCTTGCACATCGGGAATGCTAGAACCTCCTGTTCGGGGCCCACGGTGGCAGTAATGTTTATGTTGCGTGCCTTCCAGGCGAAACCCTGAGGAGGCTCCCGTGCAATCATCAGTTCCACGTGGAGTGTTGCGACAAGTGGCTCGGATGCAGCAAGCGGTGCCCGCTGTGCATGCAGAACATCGACGAGATGCTCGGAGGGTCCGACCCGTGGAGCTTCTGCAGGAAGCGCTCCAAGTCGCACGCCCAGTGATCCGCCCGTGCCCTCGCATCGTTTGTTGCGGGTGCAGGCGCAGAGCATCCTGGGCCAGAAGTTGCACAAATCCACCGACTGGGAAGCCGATGTCCCAGGACCCCCGGAAGGAGCGCAGATGGATATGTCGCAGTTTCGAGAACGGCTATATTGTGAGTGCGGCAGTCTTGTGGTCCCAGCCAATAAGAGGTCATCAATTCATTACCGTAATTTTTGTGTTTCGTAGTTTCCCTGGCTCCAGCCTCGGCTCTCCTTCGCTCTCTCCTGCTCCGCCTGCAGCCGCCTGCCATGGTAAGGATGGGAAGAGATCCTCAGGAGTCCTTTGCATCCTTGACTTTTCGGCGCTTCCTTGGCCAATCTGGTGTCCGACCTCTTTTTGCTCCCCTCGGGGACCGAGGAGGAGGAGGAGGAGGAGGAGGAGGAGGAGGAGGAGGAGGAGGAGGGGGAGGGGGAGGAGGAGGAGGAGAGGGGGAGGAGAGGAGGAGGAGGAGGAGGAGAGAGAGGAGAGGAGGAGGAGGGGGAGGAGGAGGAGGAGGTGGTGGTGTCGCCAGCCCCCCCCCCCCCCCCGTGCACCTTGCGGGGCGCCCAGGGGCCTTCATTTTGTCAACTCCCCGAGGCCAGGAGAGTCCAGAGGCCCCCAGGGGCCTCAAGAGGTCCAAGATGTTCCGAAAACTCGAGGACCAAGGAGGAGGAGGAGGAGGAGGAGGAGGAGGAGGAGGCGACCGAGGATCTGGGCCAGGCCGACGGTCTTGCATCCCTGCGTCGCGTCCTTGTGATGTGCGGCGGCTGTGTCCACCGTGTCGGGCGGTGCGCGAGGCGTGCATACCCGTTGGGGCAGCACTGCGCGCCACCGATCCGTTCTCCCTTGCGGCCCCGCGGGGTTTGGCGGGCCGCTCCCTGGACGCCCCCGGTTTTTCATTGCGCTGTGCTAGTGGGGGGACCGCGCCGCCGCCTAATGCGCCGTCTCATGGCCTGCAGCGGGCAGCGCGCGCGGCGACCGCTGCTGCGAAACTCGGTATTGCCGGTGGCGCGGCGGTCGACTCCTCACCTGCAACCGGTGCATCCAATGTTGCACGTTCTCAAATTGATATAGGCCTGAGCGGAGGCCCGACAGTTTGTGACAGCGGGCGTTCGCCCTGCTGCAGGGGGGAGAGGGACAGATTGGGCGCTGGCGGTGGGTTCTGGAATTCTGCGGTCGGCTTTTTCAATAGAAAGTACAGATTTCGGCCGGATTCGGAGGCCCGGAGGGGCCCAACAGCCTCGCGTCCGCCGTCCTTGCCGCTGCGAACGCCGCCGACAACGAACACGTGCTCCCACGTGCAGATGTTGGCCACGCGCCCCAACACCGAGCCAGGCCAGGTCATACCAAGAGCGCCCACTGCCTTCTGTGCTTTCCATCCGGCGGCCGATGCTTTTTGCGTTGGGAGCGGGGGCCCACCAAGCGGCGAGAAATGTTCCCGGGGGGCCAAATGCCAGCTGAGATGACAGACGGGGACAGGGCCTTAGGCGGGAGTCAAACTGCTTGCGCTGAGCCTATGACTCGCGTTGCTGTCCGCCGCGTGCACGCCGTGGGCTTCGCGCCTGCGTGCTGGTGCCGCAGTCACAAGTCACATGTTTGCCTGATCATGTGCATCCTTCTCCTTACTTCCAATCCCCCAGTTCTCATCGTCTCTTCTCCTTCTCCTCTGCCTACATCGGTGCCACGGGTACCACCATCACTACCACGACCATTATTATGAATGGTACTACGGCTGCTCCTACTACCAATGCGACCAGCATTACGATCACTACGAGTAACATCATTACTACTACTGATCTTCACTTCTCACTTTAATGGCCTCCGACCTGTGCTGCCGATCCGGGGCGCTCCTGGTGCTTGAGGGCCGCCACCGCGCAATTAGCGAGAAGCCAAGAGCTGAAAGGTGTTCGGAGGGCTACGCTGGTTCGTAGCTCACTGCTTTCGCTTCCGAGCAATACCACATCAGACCATGCACCTCTGGCCTGGCAGCGCGAGAGGCAGCGCCTCTTAGGGCCTCTTGGTGGTCTGTCGGGAGCTTCTTGGAGGCATCTTGGAGCCTCTTGGGGGCCTCGGGAAGTCCTTTTGGGGCCTCATTGAGGCTCCTCGGGAGGCTCTTGGGGGCTTTGGGGGCGGTCGTGGGCTCGAAGGGTCAGTTGGGCCCCTCTTGGGATTGTTTTAGGGGCCTATTGGGGTCATCTTGGGGGCCTCCTTGGCCATCTTGGCACCCTTCTGGGCCGTCTTGGGCCCATCTTGGGAGCCTCTTTGGCTATCTCGGACGGTTCGGGAGGGGTTCTTGGACCGCTTTGGGCGATCTTACGACCGAACAGGCCAGATTGCCAAAATCGTATCAAAAATCAAAGGATTTGGCTGACTTGGGCCTCTTGGGGCCTTCTGGGGGGTCCGCTTGGGGCCCCCTTGAAGCGTCTTGGAGGCCTCTCTTGGGGCCGTCTTGAGGCCATCTTGGGCGTCCTGGGCCGCTCTCGGGCCGTCTCGTGCGCCTGTTGCGCCGTCTTCGTGGCCTCCTGTGCCCCTTTTGGCATGTTTTTTGGGCGATTTGGGAACGTCGTGTCCCCCTCTTCCCTCGACAGGGCCCACTCCGGCACACCCAACCTAGTAGCTTGGCAGAGCGGAAATTTCAAATTCGTCGTTTCCCAACCATCCTGCGGTGTTGGGTCCTCGTTTTGAAGAGACAGCGCCCCGCGTTCCTCACTCCCTCCTTCTTCCCCTCCTCCCTCCTCCTATCATCATCAGCAGCATCATCATCACCACCATCATCACCATCATCATCATCGCCATCGTCATCGTCACCGTCATCGCCATTATCAGTGGGGGTGCCCGCATGCGTCCGCCACAACCTGTAAGGCGTTCCGTGGCCCCGTAGGGAGCTCCACCTAAGGCCCCAGTGTGGGTGTCAACATGAGCCCGGCACACCCAGTACAGCGCTTCGTGGCCCCATAGGGAGCTCCACGTAAGGCCCCTGTGGGGGTGGCCACATGCGTCCGCCACACCCAGTACAGCGCTCCGTGGCCTCATAGGGAGCTCCACCTGAGGCCCAAGTGGGTGTGGCCACATGCGTCCGCCACACCCAGCACAGCGTTCCGTGGCCTTATAGGGAGCTCCACGTAAGGCCCTTGTGGGGGTGGCCACATGCGTCTGCCACACTAATGTCGGCACACCTCTCACACTTTTCGTGGCCTTGTAGGGAGCTCAACCTCAGGCCCCAGTGGGGGTGGCCACAAGCGTCCGCCACACCCAGTACAGCGCTTCGTGGCCCCATAGGGAGCTCCACCGAAAGCCCAGTTGTGGTGGCCACAAGCGTCCGCCACACCCAGTACAGCGCTCCGTGGCCTCATAGGGAGCTCCACCCGAGGCCCCAGTGGGTGTGGCCACATGCGTCCGCCACACCCAGCACAGCGTTCCGTTGCCTTGTAGGGAGCTCCACCGAAGGCCCCAGTGGGGGTGTCCGCATGCGTCCGCCACACTCAGTACAGCGCTTCGTGGCCCCATAGGGAGTTCCACCTGCGGCCCTAGTGGTGGTGCCCGCATGCGTCCCTCACACGCTTCGTGGCCCCATGGGGGGCTCCACTGAAGGCCCCTGCGGGTTCGCTTGGCAGCGTCGCCTCCATTGGGTGATGATGATGATGATGATGATGATGATGATGATGATGATGATGATGATGATGATGACGATGACGATGATGATGATGATGACGATGATGATGAGGATGATGATTATGATGACGATGAGGATGATGATGATGATGATAATGATGATGATGATGATGACGATCATGATGATGATGACGATGATGATGATGACGATGATGATGACGTTTCGTGGCCCCACAGGGAGCTCCACCGAAGGTCGCGTCCCAGTGGCGCAGTTCGCATGCGTCCCCGCCAACCATTTCGGCACACCACTCAAACGTTTCGTAGCCTCACAGGGAGCTCCACCGAAGGTCCCAGTGGCGCAATTCGCACGCGCCCGCCACACCCAACTCGGTACACCCCTCACGCTTCGTGGCCCCTATGGCCCCAATGGGGGTGTCGCCACGCGCGGTATTCTCCCTCCTCACATGGGCTGGCGTTGTCGGACCCAGGGCGCCACGATCTAAGCGCCACGCCAGCTCCCATCACTTATTACCCTTCTCCTTCCGTCTCTCTCCACCTCCTTCTGCTCTCCCTCCTCGTTCCCCCCCCACCTCCTTATTCCCAACCATCCTGTGGTGTTGGGTCCCCGATTTGAAGAGACGGTCCCCGCGTTCCTCCCGCCTTCATCTCTCCTCCTTCATCTCTCCTCCTTCCCCTCTTCCCTCCTCCTCCTCCTCCCCCCTGCGCTTAACCCACACAGTACAGCGCTTCGTGGCCCCATAGGGAGCTCCACCGAAGGCCCCAGTGCCACCTTCCGCATGCGCCCCGAAAACCTAATTTGGCACACCCCTCACACGCTTCTTTGCTCCATAGGGGGCTCCTCCGAAGGCCCCAGTGCCACCGCCCGCATGCGTCCCGAAAACCTAATTGGGCACACCCCTCACACGTTCCGTTGCTCCATAGGGGGCTCCTCCGAAGGCCCCAGTGCCACCGCCCGCATGCGTCCCCCACACCAATTTCGGCACGCCCCTCGCACGCTTCGTGGCCCCATGGGTAGCTCCTCCGAAGTTCCCAGTGCTACCGCCCGCATGCGCCCGCCCCACCCAATACAGCGCTTCGTGGCCCCATAGGGAGTCCCACCGAAGTTCCAGGTCTGCCGCCCGCATGCGTCCCCCCACCCAGTGCAGCGCTTCGTGGCCCCATAGGGACCTCCACCGAAGGCCCCAGTGCTACCGCCCGCATGCGCCCCCCCCCCCCCCACCCAGTACAACGCTTCGTGGCCCCATAGGAAGGTCGACCGAAGGCCCCAGTACTACTGCCCGCATGCGCTACCCCCACCCAGTACAACGCTTCGTGGCCCCATAGGGAGCTCCACCGAAGAAGATATCCA